AGCACGCCGTCTAAATTGTGTCTTTTACAATCCTAAAATAAAAAAAAATAAAACCTTTTGCGTTTAAAGCTTCAGGTGTGGGTGCAAGTACCCATTTAGTTAAATAAAGTTAAATAAAAGTAATAAAATCGAATATGCCACAAAGGCTAACAAAGCAATTTCTAGTCGACGCTCTAATGGCGGCTAGTGTTGGTTTTCCCGCGACGGCTACGGTGGCGCAATTAAAGCGTTTATACGCCGCACACTGCACAAATGAGGCGCTCAATGAGGTGGACGACGACAACATATCCGACTTGGATGAGGGAGCAGCTCCAGACAACGGTGCCATCATAATCGACGCCACGCGGTATGATCAGGTACGAGATGCTCAAAATACGGTTACCGAAAATACCGTTGGCGAATGCCGTGACGCCGGCGCTAGCGCCCCTGCCGCTAACCTAAATAACGTTGCTGAAAATACCGTTCGTGAACGTCGTGCCGCCTATAGCCTTGCCGCCGGCGCTAAAAATGCTGCCGTTACCAATGCTGCCGTCACTATAATCCCCGCCGCTGACGATATTACTGCCAATGCCGATATTACCGCCAATGCCGAAAATGCTGCCTCCGTAAACCTTGCCGTCTCCAATAGCTACACCAGCGACAAAACTTCCGCTGGCGCTGACAACACGGCATCCAGCCCTACGAATGCCGGTGACGACTACACCGCTGATAATTTGGACCAACAGATTACGGAATTAAGGAAGAAGCGCGAAATATTGGAGCTGCAACGTCAAATAAAAAAGCTGAAAACTACGATTGCCCAACCAAGTGCTTGTAGAGCTTCATTCGCAGACATTGAGCACGCAGTTCCAAAATTTAGTGGTGATAGTACCGCACAATCAGTTCAACACTTCTTCCACGATTTCGAGGAAATAATGCGTACGGTTAATGCGGACGATCAATTTAAATTGTTAAGCTTACGTCGCTCACTACATGGAACAGCGAGAGTGTTTTTAACGACGACATCTGCACTCAACTATCATGATTTGAGGAAGGCAGTTATAGATGAGTTCGACAGTGCAGTTACTCGCCACGACGTCTACAGAATGTTGAGCGAAAGGAAGTGGAAGCCCCAAGAAGAATCACTGCACTGTTACATATTGACTATGCAGGCTCTGGCGAAACGTGGATGTGTCCAGGAAACTGACGTCATCGACTTGATCTTTGATGGGATCGGGAATAAAATAAACAATATAAATTTACTTATGCCAGCACAATCACTGGACGAGCTGAAGAGGCTAGTGAATCGCTACTTTTCCAAATACCTCAAGCCAAATTTTGGTACTGTTCGACGTATGATGCCTGCCGCTGCCGCAAAGCAACCTGCCGTTCCCGTCAAGCCGTCAGCCTCTGATAAGCTTACTGCCGAGTCTGGAGGAAACAGCCAGCCACTATGCTTTAACTGCTCCAAGAGGGGCCACATAAAGCCAAACTGCCCGTATCCGATGCGTCCGAATGGGTCCTGCTTCCGGTGCTGGAAGATGGGTCACGACCATCATTCATGCACCAATCCACGGAAAATTTTGAAGCCGATTGCCGACCAACCAGTTGCTGCCGTTTACGAAAACGACCTCACCGAGCTGGAATCGTTCAATTTTGTAAGTATTACTTTTGAGACCAATCGACAAGAGAGTGCGAAATTTAATAAATTCATTTCCCTTTTTGATACCGGTAGTCCAACTAGCTTTATGAAGCAATCGTGTGTGCCAAATAATTGCCAAATTTTACGAGAGCCACAACATACTTACCGCAGCATTGGTGGATTAAAACTAAAAATATTGGGTCAAGTCCTTTGTTCTGTGAAATTTAAAAATGAAGTAAAAAATATCAAAATAAATATATTGCCAGAAAATGAAATGTTAGTACCTGTTATTTTTGGACGAGATTTTTTGAAGCAGTTTAACATACACTTAGCTAAAATAAAACGTAAATATACGAGAGACAATTTATTGATATATAAGAACACTCTTTGCACTCCCTTGTCGAATGACCTGGTCGAAATCTTAAACAAGTTTAGCCTCTTAAAAGCTTATGCGCCACCTAATAACATTGAATCCGGGGACATGATCGGTACGAGTGGGAATGTTGGTCCCAGCGGGCGGGTATCCGTCGAATTGCCGGACATATTCAATATTGAAATCGATAGCCAAAACGAAGAGTTGGATATAGACTTTGCGCTAAATCGTAATCAGCGTGCCGAATTAAGTAAATTAGTGTTCGATTCGTATATAAATCCGAAAGATCTTAGGGTAGAGCCAGTAGAATACGAAATGAAGATTCACTTAACAACTGATGTGCCGTTTTATTGTGCGCCTAGACGTTTATCATTTGCCGATCGTACTGTAGTCCAGGATATTGTAAGAAATTTAGAAAGGGATGGGATTATACGGGCGAGTAATTCTCCTTACGCTTCAGCAATAGTACTTGTAAGGAAGAAGAGTGGCCAGAAGCGCTTATGTGTTGATTATAGGGGTCTGAATAAAATAACCGTACGAGATAACTACCCTCTGCCACTCATAGAGGATTGTATAGAATATCTCGAGGGTAAGAATATTTTTTCTGTTTTAGACCTAAAAAATGGGTTCCACCAAGTTAGTATGTCACCGGAGTCCATTCCATACACTGCGTTCGTGACACCGAATGGACAGTATGAATATCTTAAAATGCCGTTCGGACTTAAAAATGCCCCGGCTGGTTTTCAGCGTTTCATAAACGACATATTTAGAGATTTAGTGGACGATCATCTACATGGATGATATATTAGTTGCCACTGCAACTCTCGAAGAGCATAAAACTTTATTGATGACATTATTGAAGCGTATTAGTAGACGAGGTTTAAAACTAAATTTATCAAAGTGCAAGTTTGGGTATACTCAGATAGAGTACCTGGGATACTCTGTATCCCCAGTCGGAATCACTTTAAGTGAATCTCACGTCAAAGATATACGGAAATATCCAGTGCCATCTAACCAAAAGGAATTACACTCTTGCATAGGTTTATTTTCATATTTCCGCCGATTCGTGCCGTCTTTCTCCAAAATTGCTAGGCCATTGTTAAATTTGCTAAAAAAGGGTGTTGATTTCGATTTCAACGAAAGCTGTATCACCGCATTTGAGCAACTTAAAGACAAGCTAACGCAATCTCCAGTTCTTGCGATCTATAATCCTACAAAGGAAACAGAACTCCATTGTGACGCAAGCACCTCTGGCTTTGGTGCAGTTTTGTTGCAACGGCAACACGACGAGAAGTTTCACCCAATAGCTTACTTTTCTAAGAGTACCTCCGCTGCGGAAGCCAGATACCACAGCTTTGAGTTGGAGACATTAGCTGTAATTTATGCGTTACGTAGATTTAAAGTATATTTGGAGGGGATCCCATTTAAAATAGTTACTGACTGTAACTCACTCGCCATGACTCTAGAAAGGAAACAAGTTAATGCGCGAATAGCTAGGTGGGCTCTTGAGTTAGAAGCATATAATTACAAGATAGTACACCGTAGTGGAGTTATCATGGGGCATGTAGATGCACTTAGTCGCTGCCAAGTCGGCGCGGCCTTAGATGTTGATGAGGTTGAATTCCAAGTCCAAGTTGCTCAGGAAAGGGACGAGAAAATTAAAAACATACGACATCAATTACAAGAGGGAGTTGTCGAAGGATTTGAATTAGAAAATGGTCTTGTTTTTAAGATTAATCGCAAAGGATGTAAAGTTCTGTATATCCCAAGTGAGATGGAGGATAATATCATAAGGTTGATGCATGAGAAGATCGGACACCAAGCTGTTGATAAAAGCTGTTCAAAAATTAGTCGCCATTATTGGTTCCCTCAAATGCGTCGGAAAGTAGAG